CAGAGAAGCGGTATCGATTCTCAAAGGAGTAAGTAGAGTAATTGATGACGCTTCTCTACGCGTTTAGTTTTGTTTTCGCTACAGACTGTTTTCCTTTCAGTTTTTAACGAAAAACTGCCTGAAACGACTCGGTTGTGTTCCGTCAACTGGTGGCGAAGACGCCATAAGGGCGCATGTCTTTTTTAGAGAAATTAATTGGGATAAGTTGGAGCATCGTGAAGTGCGGCCACCTTTCAAGCCAAAAATCGTATGTTTTGGTTTTCATTTCCTTTATACCATATACAATGATTTGTCCCTAACGTACAGTAGCTTTTTAAGCTACATACGGCATGTCCTGCTGTTATAGCATCGAACATCTTTCTGCTTTAATATTCAGTAATGTTGTGATGAACGACCAGTAACAGCGACTGAACTGCACGCAGTAGCCCTGGCTTCGCGCATACCAACGAAATATATGATTATATTCCGTTCGTTGCACAGGTCGATGTAAAGATTAAGTCGTGGTTGGCCCTGTTGACAAACCAGGTGAACATACTGCATTTTCCCATCAATAACGCGCGCGTAATCTATACAAAAAAAGTCCACTCAACCTAAGAAAACAGCGTTGCGCGTTAAGCAATGAAAAGCGAAAACGTGTTGGCCAACAGTCGAGGATGAACAAATACTACACGTTTCTTTTCATTAATCCAAAAGTCTATGATGAGTAAGCTTTAAAATTTTCTAGTTTGTTCTCTTCTGCAAGAAAATGCTGGTTGTTGACATCTTTTCGATCTCTCTAAAAGAACCCACTCGTGAAGTGCTTTTTCGAGCTCTGGCCAGAAATATCCCCTTTACCTCATTGCACGTATCTTCTGGTGTAAACATTTTCGGACCGCTTCTTCTTTCCTCTATTCCCGTACACTGGACTCCCCAACGTTAAATTTCCTGGCTGCCTGACGATTCCCTTCTTAAACGTCATTGTTTATGATTTTCTCAGCACAGTATTTTTTTTTCCATTGGTCACTTTCTCAGGAGCAACTTTCAATATTAAAAACTATGCACTCGCAGAATACACGTATTCAAAGATCAGAAGCAATCTGTTACTCTTGTCAGTTCTTCTGTTCGTTTGTTTTAGATAGAGCCAGTGATATTATTCTATTATTCATTTGTTCGAAAACCGCCTATTTTCAGACAAATAGACTGCATGCCATCTGTACATTTTTATGAGCATTATATATTACAAGCTGCGTGTTATCGATAGGAGAACATAAGTATTATCTGGCTCGTCAGCTCCTTGTGTGCGGGTGAAACACGTCAGACGTCGCCAGAGATCAGTATGCATAACGAATAAGCAACGTACAGAGATCTGGCTTCAGAGAGAAATTATTGCGTATACGCTACGGTAACCGGTGTTTTACAGCAAGTGTTGAAAACCAGGTTGTTATATGCCAGAAATGTTCTGGTTATAAAAACAGTTGGAGGTGATGACCTCAACAAGCACGTAGAATCACTTAACATGGTGGAGCAAAGGAGCAGTCACATAACACCTTGTAAACGTGTGGGATTTAATTATGGATATATGTTCCTGGAATTTGATTCACTTTCCAGGTGGATGATAAAGCATATAACGCGTGAGTGTAAGCTCTTAAGTATAATCTATTACAGTACATTGTTACTCGATGTTAAATGCACTGGAATGTTTCAGATGCTAAAATACCGTGGACCGTTTGCCTGCTTAAACAACTTCCTATGCAACTATAATTCATGTAACTTTTCATTATCACAGTATGATAGTCAACTAAAAAAATTAACTTGAGCCTTAAGCGTTCATTTTTAAGAAGTCCAAGCGAGATGTGAGCAACTTTGATCCAGAATTTACGAAAGATGATCCAGTCCTTACACCGGTGGACTCCATCGTTGTCAAAGGAATCAATCAGGATGAGTTTCGAGGCTTTAGTTTCATCAACTCTGACTTTCGAACGAATGGCTCGATCGATTAAACATCTGTGTTGTCGTTTTCACCGTTGCTGAACGCCGTCTGTAAATGGTTCTACTCATCGAGGATCGACGGTTGCTGTTTTGATTTATCATCGCTTGCAGCTGTCTTCTTCCTTCATACATGCTTTATTTTGTAGGGAACATTCATTTTCAGTGTTAGTAGTTTGTGGTTTCTTGTGAAGAATTTAGCTCATTCGATATCGATTGGTTATTCCGTGCAGCTTTGCTCAATCGTTTCTTCTATGCTCAGTGGATTGTTTGTTGTTTTTCACACTTAATGTTTTTCAACGTTGTTCATTTGTGATACTTAAGCCTTTGTTTGGTTTACCAAAGTCGCGTAGTGCATGCTATTTTACGTTTTACATACATGCTCCTACCACAGATGTATCTTCCTTGTTAAATATTTCATAAAGGACATCTCAAATTTTTGTCTTCGTCGCTGGACAGGGCTTTACGTGATGAGATGATATTAACTTTCCGTTCTTCCTTGGGCTTCAGTTGTTCGAATCAGCTGAAAAAATTTTTAATCCAGAGAGAAATAAAGTTACTAATACATTAACAGCTTTATACATGCGTGTGAAAAGTAAATCAACTTTCTTCTTCAGAGTCAGAAGAACGTCTCTTCCTATAAGGTCTCTTCTTGGAATGAGCAAAATGATGAAACTTACCGTCGGTAGGAACTGTAGAAGAATGTGAGCAGCCTGAATCGCCTGTTACAGGCAGCTTTCCTGCGTCAGAAGCGCAACAATCCGCAGACCATTCAAGAATTATGCTGTTTAGTAACTGGTCATCCTTGTTTAGCCGCCGCTTAATCAAGAAAGATTCACTTCTTGTAGTAGAAGGTATGTCCTCTTCGGATGACTCCGTTTCATCAATAATACGCTGTCTGAGAGTGAGAAACTTCCTCTTAATGCGTGAGCTTGCCAAGTTATCCTCAGCCGCTACTTGGACACGTTGGCGTATTTCAGAACTGCTCAAGCACCTGTCCCTTCTCGATCTTATAAAAGAAGAGTAGCTTGTCGAAGGCATGTCATCCATACGTTCATCAGTTAATCCCAACTGCAGAAAATATTCATTGCGCTTTTTTCTGCGACTGATCAATTTCGTTGGATCACGAATCACAGACGAGGAACACGGAATATATCCGAGACGAGGATCCAGCAGCTGCTCCGTTTTTGTACTTCCTTCGTCCCGCCTGTCCGCATGTAAGGAATCAAGCCGAGCGCCACAAACAGCAGCGCTATAAGCAAATGCTGTTTGTGTTCCCAACCTGTCTGAACCTGAAAATAACGTAAACCTGTTTTGGTCTTAGGTATTATGTCGATTATTACTATACCATCGCTGTTATTTCCATCGTTTATTTCTTGTGTTGACGATCTGTTGTCAGCGCTACTGTCAGCTGTAGTGATATTCGAGTTACTGTCATCTTCCTCATCTACTGAGGAATAGGAAGTTTCGCTCTCAACAATTTCGTAGGAATACTAAATGAAACATCAGCATGCATATAAAAAGCAATTACTTATTTCATGCGAAGAATAGCAGCACTCCTATAAAATCTTTACTCATAAAAAATTTCAGTATACTAAGAAATGAAAAAATTCAGTTATCAGTACTGAATTTCAAAAAAAAAGTTCGGCGTCAGAGTATGACTAAGCATAACCTAATAATCCGATCTCGACATCCTCGCAGCAGAGACACCAGGCAACGTGTAAGACATGTAATAGCAGGGCAGAAGTAAGTTAGAATGTACGCTTTTGGACTCTAAGCAAAAGTCGGATTCTCGCATCGATCAGGTAGCCAAAGGGGATAGAATTCCTTGTCCTTTAAGGTAGTGTGGTCTTCGAAGAACAGACGTCCAATCCAGTTACAAACGTGGATGGAAGCGTCCAGTGCAACCGCAAGATCCATATGAACCACATGAACAAAAACTACGAAAGATCTGAATAATAACAGAAAACAAAGAAAGCAACACCTGAGGATAGCTTGGATGACGCTTAGACCTGAAAAATGAACAGTAAAAAAGCTGTTCACCTAGACTTTCATATCATCGTCCCGCTGTACGGAGAATTGCATGTTTGTGTTCATGACAAAGCAGTAACTGCTAAGTGACTCAATGTGGGCTACATTTCCAATGCGTCATTTCCGTTGCATCATTAAACCAGTTATATATTTTATTTATACTTGTAAAAGTAAGATTATAGGGCAAACTCAGTAAGCCTAATACATTTAAAACCGACGACACCATAAACTATTTTGGCCTTATGTCAAACTTGTTAACAAATGACACTACATTCCATATGATCGGTCTTAGAAATATACAGTACCTGAAAGAGATATTCACACTGACTTTAATGCTATGTTAAATATTTATGGCAGAATAAGAAAGGTAATAATAGCGAAGCACGAGAAAGGTGTTAGCAAGACAATGTTAGATCTGTAAGATACGGTGCGATTACAAGGATAAATATGTGCAGGTTCAATCAAGCGAGTCCAAAGACTGGGTAAAGGATGCTTTTACGGTCAGCACTGCTTATTTACATTTTCGAACGTGACAGAAGGCGGCCATTTTGCATGCCTTATGCAGACGATGTTGAATAATATAGCAAAAGACAGCGTGCAGTAGTTCTTGAAAAAGTCATTAAGAAAAACACCAAATACACGGTATGTTGTTTCAGTGATTCCAAAGAATCTGTGAAAGCTGAAGATCATCTGCTGCCCAATACCCTGACATTCAAGTGTCTTAACTGTCAGGTTCCATTACAGAGAAATCGAAAGAATTATGAAGCTGGTCGACAAAGCTAATCTCAAAAGGGCAGAGGTGAATAGCATGCTCAGTAATAAGGAAATTTCGATCAAACCATAAGGAAGTGTCTATTAAACATTAGGTACAGGTGCTGAACACTAAGTCAGATTACTGAAGACAGAAACAAAAACTCAACTTTCTGACATGGGAATGAGACTGCTCGAATGGTAGTGGCGTCAACAGAAGGATCTTCAGCAGAATATAATTAAGGGTGGTACTTAAGGTAGTGCCCTGAAAGAGCAAAGCTGTTCGAAAGCAGATTCCGCTCGTTCGGCCAACTGGAAATTAGACCCGACGACTAAACGGAATATCGTCCAAACACCGGTGATGTCATGAAATAAAAAGTGTCGTGTAAAGAATTGCATTAAACTATTCAAGGAAATCGAATGCTTAACCAATAATTCAGAGAATGCAGAGAAAATTGAATCATACATTCGACTCCTGACAAAAGAAATATGCTATGAAAAACGAAAGGAGTAATGAAAACAATCTGCGTATGCAGATGCATCGTCACGGTCGGAAAGGTAACTATGAAGACAAGCCATCAGTTACAGATACAGTAGTGACTAACGACTGGCGATCTGCAAATCCCAACGCGTGTCCAGGTTTCGTCGTCACTACACATCACCAAAGTGAATACTATAAAACGCAAAATTGAAAAGAGTATGAAATACGGCTTAATAGTACAAAACGCCAAAGATAATACGGTCAATCTGGTAAATGACCAGTCCTGACGTTTCGGCCCGTATCTCACGAGCCTTCTTTAAGGTATGCGGATGGTAGAGTTTCATGAATTTCGCTTGTCTTCCACAGCAGTTAATGAATTCCGACCCAGAAGGCAAGGTTTCGGTTAGTGCTGGTAGTCAAATAGCTTACGGGGTGACAGGGGCGTGCTGCTGGTTAAGTAATTTATGGACGACAATTGCTGCAGACGATAAATGAAATTCGCGAAAGCACCTACATACCTTGGAGAAAGCCTTTGAGACACGGGACGAAACGTCGGTATTGGTCAGTCATGGGATTGACCATAATATCGCTTGCGTTGTATATTGTTAAACCGTGGTTTATATTCTTTTCTCAATATGACCAAAAATGCACGAACAAAATATTCTAAAACGTTGAATATGCAATGCCCCGTTTTGAAATAGGGTGATAGGTATCACAAAGGAACCACATGGCAACTTTCTGTAAGTCATGAAATACAGAGTCAAATATAGAGTAAAATGTAGAGTCATGAAATATAGAGCAAAATCTGCAACTAGAAGAGTCGCTCAATGAAAATAAACTTACAATGGGATCATCGTTTGCAGTTACGCTCGCCAACAGATCGATGGTATCCACGTCGTCTTCATAATTATTTTGTGTTTCGCGCTAAAATTCAATAAATGTTCATAACCATTTCATAATAAAAACTTTTTCATATTAAAATAGCACAGCATAATAAAAGAAGCGAAATAAAAATTTTACCATTATTTCTCAACAGTTTAAATTCCAAATATATAGAGGTTAATAATGGATGGACGAAATGGGAGATATTTTCTGCACTGGCCTCCAAGGCCCTGTATATGCCTTCATCGTGCCATCGATCATCTGAACAAAGAACGATGGCTCCAAGACTAGATGGAAGGAAATTGAGATGATATTCGCTAGATAGTATCAGAAAATGGAGTAAACAGCATGCATGATTCATAGCATTTTAATGATCAAGAAAGGAGAAATAAGGAGGAATAACTCTACCCAAAATTACACAATTCTTTACCCCTATCCAGCGCAGTTATTAAGTATGACTGTTCCACGAAGAACTACTCATGACATCGAGAAACAATGTTATTTAGCTTGCATAACTAAGATAAGGAACGTACCAAAATCAAAGTGTCAAAAAAGGCAATCGTTTGCAAATCTTCTTCCATACTGTCTGATCTAGAACCACCCTGGATCGGCTGTCCAGAATGAACCACCATATTCTGGTATTCTTGCTGGGTGTAAAGTGGTCTTGTAAGCACTTCGGTTCTAACAGATTCTGGATCAACATTGTCCATCGGCCAAGGACTCCACAATTTGACAATTTTCTCAACTCCACATGAGACAATCAGGTTATAATTGGCACTAAAACGCACCTGATTAACAATTGAGCGATGGCCCTTTAATTCCATTGCAGGTATGTGGACTAACTGCGCTAAAAAAATCATAATTTGCAACAGATATGCAGCAACATGTTCGGAGTCAACTTCTAAGCCGTAATAAAATGTAACAGTTACAAATAAACAAAAAACATCTAACAAAAACATCTGCGTAATTATGCTCAAATCTTAGTAATAGCATAGCAGCAACAACTTAAATTAAAAATATAAATTCTTGTTTTAAGTAGAATTTACCAACTTGCATGT